GTCTTTGCAACTTTACAGATCTTCTTTATGCACCAAGAGCTTGTAACACTCCAAAGAGAAAGGAAAAATTGAAATCGCATCATATGACCCCTTTAAAGCCAAAGCTGTTTTAGGTCACAGGGATGAGCTGCATTTAATAATGGCACGGGCAATGGCATGGCATTGGATAAATTCCCAGATTCACATAAGTCCTCTTTTTCCCAGACATGTCCTGGACGGATTTTTCTAAATTGCCCAAAACGTCTGGGTTCTGGCTTTGATTTCCTATTGGCAGTCTCTCTTCGGTCCTCATGTATTATATGTGTATTTGTATTGCTTTTGACTGTCTGTAGATCCCGCCTTCTCGCACGCCACGATTGGTTGATCCGTACAATGCCTTCACGCTATTGGTCAAACCACTTTTCAGTCACTGGCTTCAGCAAGTATGAAAACAATAGAAAAACAAAGCCAAAACAGAAATTTTAGGCAATTTAGAAGTCAAGGGGAGGGAAAAAAGGACATATGATCACCCTACTTGGTATAATATATTTTGTTGTGAAGTTGTGGGCGTTGCCACGGATAACAAATTTCAGACCCCACATCCACCTTGTTTTATTTTATTTTATTTTATTTTATTTTATTTTATTTTATTTTATTTTATTTTATTTTATTTTATTTTATTTTATTTTATTTTATTTTATTTTATTTTATTTTATTTTATTTTATTTTATTTTATTTTATTTTATTTTATTTTATTTTATTTTATTTTATTTTATTTTATTTTATTTTATTTTATTTTATTTTATTTTATTTTATTTTATTTTATTTTATTTTATTTTATTTTATTTTAGTGTATTGTGTATCTATATTGCAGGTATATCTTTATTAATTAAAATAAATATTTTTAATGATTTGTTTAATTTATTGATGCACATCTGCCATTTCGACAGTCACACAAATATGAGTTGCTTTGTCGCTCATAACTATACAACTTTAAATGCAAACAGACTTTGTCTCCTAATATTAATAAAATTACTGTTTATAACCACAGATGACAAAACCAGATTTTCTTTGAGTCAGTATGAAATATCCTAAGTGGTGCTTTTATGTGTTTATATATACATTTTTTTGTTGGTCGAACGCCTCTCACCATCAAAAGAGAATTAATTCCTGGATGTTTCTTCAACGATGTTTAGCCATTCCACCGTTTAATGCATGCAGGCTCTTATGATGATGTTTATCGTTGCGTTATGTTTGCATTTATTGTTTATTATTCTCCAGGGATTAAACGTATTTCCGATGACTCTGAACTTTCTTCCGAAGGATGTCCATTAACTCTGAATCTGTGTATTAAACTCAAACTCGTTTTGTTTATCACTGACAGAACTTGTGAAATTACTATCTGACCATTTGCTGTACACTGTTGAGTTAATTATATTATTATGCATTTTTATCATTTTTATTTGTTGGCAGATTTGTATTTTATATTATTTTTTTTATAAGTTCAAGATAATGTGTAAAAAATGAAATTGCATATGAAAACCCTTTACTTGCAATACAAACTGATAAAGTTGTTAATAAATACTCATGCAAATATAATTATGAACACAAATTCCTCTACATCAGCCTGATTTTCTGATGTCCATCTGTTCCACATGAACAGACTTCGCTTTTGCCCAAATCCTTGTACATAAATGTCAATAAACTATCACTTTCTAGTGGGTTGTATTTATTATGTTGATTCATATACTGTAACACTAGAGGGCATCACAAGAATCTCTTCAATATGTGTGTGAAGGTTTTGCTAAACATGAGATACAAATATTTAAATATGCCCAGAATAAGAGCAAAATAACAACAACAACAATAATAATAATAATAATAGGTAGCCTATCATTGGAAAATGGAACCCTTATTTTGATGTAATCACATATATATATATATATATATATAGAGAAGTAAAATTATTAAAAATTAGAAGTCATTTAGCACGTCCTCATTACCTAGGTATGTGTTTATGTCAAATATAAATACAATTCACAGAGGATGAGAGTCTTTCCTGTTCCCGTAAACACTACCATGATTTCATCGTCTTCTCAAAATAAAACCCCACATCAGGCTTTTTTATATATCTGTAACACAATTATGTAATTAATTAATTGTTCACCTCTTATTGGTCAAATGTCACTGTCAAGGTCCGCCTCCTCCCGCCCACCGGCAAGTGCTTGATCGTAATTGGTGGAAAGCGCTGTCAATCACGGCCGTTGCCCTGGCAACTGAAGTCTGAGGAACAGCTGGGCTGTCCGTGACTCGGTCTAGATGAACGCAGACGAGTCGAGCAGAGCAGCAGTCATAAACTCCAGCGTTTTTGCTCACTTAGGAGTTTTAATCGAAGATGAATGTATTAACAGTTAATACTTTAGACACGTTTCCGTGTTGTTAACGTTAGGTGAAAATTCAGCGAGAGGAACTGTTTTATTAAGTGAGGTAGCGTGATAGTATTCGTTTCAGTGCATCAGGTCACCTGTTGGACTGGGCTTGCAGGTAAAAACGGGTATCGGTACACAAATAAAACGAACTGACGTTTATAACAGCCGTGATGATTCCCGAATGTCCACGAACGACCGAGCCCAGAAGCCGCATTCGGTGTGAATCCGGTCAGAAGCGCTCCGGTTTGCTGCGTGAGATCCGGACCGTCATCAGGAGCGAGCCGTTCACCGAGCGCTATGACGTCATCCCCGGCAAAGAGCTGGGCAGGTGAGGCGCACCTTTACCTGTCTGCCTGTGCTCGTGTCAGTTCTCTTATATTTATCTGATGCATGCACTCTGAACCTCTTGTTTGGATTTAAAAGTACTAATTTTGAAGTCCGGCCACGGATACATGCTCAGTAAATGTTTGGCATGCTAAATCCTACTTGTGTTATAGTCTGGATGTGTGCATTGAAAATGTTTCCATTCGAGAGTCCCTTATATGGATCTGCATTCTTAAATGGATAGTGCATGTATTGCTTTCACTGCATACAGTTCAATATGTGTACAGTATTTAAAGTCTCAGTATTTTGAACATCTACACTGCTTCAGAGTGTGATTTGGCATTGCTTTGTCATTTAGATGGCTTTCAGGTACTTATGTGTTTTGTATTCCTTTTGGGTACGAGTGTGTAAAAAGTCATGCAATTGCATATGAAAACCCTTTACTTGCAATGCAAACTGATTCAGTTGTTAATGAAAATAAGCCTAGTTTTCTGATGTCCATCTGTTCTACATGAACAGACTTTGCTTTTTCCCAAATCGTTGTGGATATTGCATGCATTTATTGCTTACATTGCATACAGCCATGTATTTTAAGTCATGCATTACATTGTTTTTACGTGCTGTAAACAAAGTATGATTTGGCATTGCTTTGTCTTTTAGATGGCTTTCAGATGTATTCATCTACACATTTAATGAAACACCCAATAAACTTTTGCATGTGGTGCATCATAGCTGGATCACATGATTGGAAAACAGAGCCACTGTTTGATGGCACACTGCGTTGATGCCAGGGCTCAGTGGTTTTTAAATCAGTGAATAAGTCATACAGGGCACTGTATTGTTGGTGGTGTTCCTTTGCCAAGTCGCTGTAAGACTTCAGCACTATGAAAACACTGCTCTGATTTCACTGCGCTTACTCTTGTTTGTACCGAGGAGGATATGCAGCGCAAGCACAACAAGATTTGGGCATGTGGAGTATTTTACGGCTGTGCAAAACTAGCAGAAAAGTCACTTTAATTTCTCCAATATCAACAAAGTGCTGATTGAGATGGAAAGGGACATTTAGCTTTTGCATGCAGGACAGAAGTTTGAACTCAAGTTGAACGCTTGTGAAATACAAGTTACAATATTTGAATTGTTTATTATCTGCTGTATTAGTCACAAGACAAACTCTGGAACATGTAATATCAGCAGGCTATCTGATCCGTTTGTTTGCAAAACACATCAGGATTAATGGGGAGAAGTTTTGAAAGTGCAACTGTCTGGATGTTTGCCACCGCCGTTTAGGCCAAGCCTTTTCATCTGAGTACAATTAAGCACAAATCAGTGAGTAGTTCATGTCCAGCGTGTTTTACCGATCTCTCAGCCCGTTTCCTAAAGGTGAACTTGAATGGTTCAGGATTTCAGTGACGTGATTGGCTGCTCCAGCTGGTTTTATTTTGATGGCTGTGCTTGTGGAGACGAGACATTTTCATTCTTTACTTCAGCGAGCGATTTCAGTGGCTGCCAAAGGGTTATGATTCAGATTTTCATTCTGAGACTCACATTAGCCTAGATATTGGCATTTATAGTCTAGTTAGTCCAAATCTTACACGAGGACAGCTGCTTGTACCTGATTTATTTTAAGAGTCAAGACTATAAGTATGTGAGTTGTGTTACAAGTTGCACTGAAGAAATGATCATTTAGACCCAAGCACAGCTGAAACTGGATGGATGATGCAAACATCAATTTGTTTTTGATGCAAAGCAAATATTTTAAGTAGCAGAATGCTTGACGTTGTGTAGGTTCTAGACTAACAGGTTTAGACTGATTGGCATACTGACGGTTTTTAAGAGTGGTAAACATGTTGAACTTGTGAAGTACTAAATCGATCAGGCATCATTCATAAAACTTGAGGAACAAATCAGGATTAGTAAAGGCAGAGACTCCTAATGATTATTAATGTTTTTGTGCTCATGCTTCATTATTTGTAGGCTCAATTTTGATACGAATAAAATTTAAGGATGCCCAATATCTTAGTTGAGGTTTTGTGCCGATATTGGATATTTTATTGTGCTTTGTCATTTTCTCTCTTTACAGTCTCCAGCACGTGCGTTCAGATGGAGCGGCATTTACTACACAGAGCCGTAGTTCACTGACAAGCTACACAAAATCGCATTCAAAATTGTCAATGAATCGTCTGTGATTTTGAACGTGATTTTGTGTAGCTTGTCAGTGAACTACGGCTCTGTGTAGTAAATGCCGCTCCATCTGAACGCACGTGCTGGAGCTTTACTACTAATCACAGGAGCGGCTTTACTGACGAGATGCGCATGGAAATCGCATTCGATTTTTTGCACAGCCCTACATACTGCATTCCTTTGCCACTGTGCTTTGTGAACACCCAGCACTGACGGATCAGAACCAGCACTCTACGCCGGCCAAGCGCTTTAGATCAACAAATGTCTTCGCCTTGCCTGTATGGGAACTCATTCTGCATGCTGCAGATTAGACCTGAGATATTTGATGGGAAGAGTGCCATGTAAAATGAGAAGTGTAATTTTTCAAACATTTGTGCGACATTTTATCTTCTTGCATGTAAGTGCCAAGTTTCTTAATGTCGTGTCACCGATCCGGTAATGGCAGCGTGCCACTTTACAGTTCTGCTGGTGTTAAAAAGAAAAATATGTAATTTAAAACCCTAAATTATATAAGCTGCATAAAATGCATGTCACTGTGTTTTTCAATAATGATTTAAAAGAATATTTCACCCAAAAATGAAAATTTGCTGAACATTTACTCACCCTCAGGTCATCCAAGATGTACAGATGATGAGTTTGTTTCTTCATCAGATTTGGAGAAATGTAGCATTGCATCAGTGTCTCAGCAATGGATCCTCTGCAGTGAATGGGTGCCGTCAGAATGAGAGTTCAAACAAAAGTGAAAAGCTGCATGTTTGTAAAAACAAAAACAAATCCACCAAGACATTTTAACCATCGCTTCTGGCCAAAATAAGAGTCCATAATAACATATTTTTCTCCTGTACGCTCTGTATTTTTGTCTTGATTGACAAGGGACAACTTTTTCACTGGAAAAAGTGTTATTTTGGATTATGGACTCATATTTTAGCCAGAAGCAACGGTTTGAAGTTAAAATGGAATCAGGATTATTGTGGATTATTGTGATGTTTTTATCAGCTGTTTGGACTCTCATTCTGATGGCACCCATTCACTGCAGAGCATCCATTGCTGAGACACTGATGCAATGCTACATTTCTACAAATCTGGTGAAGAAACAAACTCATCTACATCTCGGATGGCCTGAGGGTGAGCACGTTTTCAGCAAATAATTTCTGACACAAAATAGGGCTGCACAATATATATAGTTTCAGCATCGATATTGCGATGTGTGTATCCGCGATAGTCACATTGCAGGATGTGTGATGTTTAGTATACTGATCATTATATTTATACTGATCGTTTTCTTTGCTCACACCCAGACACCGTGTCTACACTGGAAACGCCGCTCCGCAACAGCTAAAGTCTGTCTACACTGGACGCAACCATTGCAAATCATTTGAACTTTGTGTCAGCACGTCATAAATAGAACGAGGCATCAGTTTACTGTCGGGGATTTGTCGTGTCATGCCGCGCCGCATCCAGTGTAGACCGCATCACTGATTATAATGGGTTCTATCGTATTTTTGTCGTGCCGCTCGCGTCTGGTGTAGACACGGTGAGAGCCACGCCGATGCACGTGAACACTGAATTCCGTTCACTTCCACATCTATTTGAGCCTGAAATGACACATACGCGTGAAATTGTCAAAATGCATGTCTCTACAAGTATCCTTGTAAACACCGTTACATATGGTTTAGGTGAAGGTAAACAATTGAGAAAGAAAATGGATGTGTAACAGTATATTGGTTCACAGCAGTTTAATGTTCCTGCTGCTTTCTGTGTCACGAATGCTAATCAAACAAAAGAAAAATCACTTTTGTTGCTTTAACACCGATTTATTAGATTTAATTTATACAGTGAAGACTATGCAGTGTTATTTTATGTTTGATTATTCAATACATTTCTGTACCTGAATACTGTTAGACTTACTTGAAAAATATAAAGCACTGTGTTTATTTCATTTGTATCTTTGTTCTATTATATTTAACTATGCTTGTAATTTGTTTATTTTCTATGCTGATATACTCCCCTACAAAATCACCCCAATTATTGATTCAAGTCATCTGGTGATTTTTAATATATATCGCAGAAAAACAAAATTTTGCAATGTGAGTTTTTTTCCAATATCGTGCTGCCCTAACACAAAATTAAAAGATTTTTAAAGCCATAATTTGCTTAAAAATGAAAATTGCTCTGAATGTTTTCTTGATAACACACGTTGTCCAAAGTTCAGCTTCGGTACTGAGCTCTGTGAATCCTTGTTATTTTTAATTAAGCTCATGCATTTGGGAGGGATGTGTTTGCAGTGTAAAAGCGGATGACACCACAGTCTCACTGTTGTCTTAAACAGCATGTCATCAGCTGAGAATTTCTCACCCTCCTTTCATAAATCTCGGGGGTTTCTTTCATTTCTGGGTGAGTTCCGCTGCTTGATTGACGGATCTGTGCAGTGTGATTTATATATTTTTTCCCTTTGAATTTCCCATCACAATTTTTTTAAAGCCCAGTCTTTTCCGCTCTCTTTCCCAGAGAATCCCGGCTCTAACAGCCGAGTGGGATACCATGACATCATTGTCGTGCCATTCAAGTCGTATGGGGCTATAAGCCCAGTGGCAACATCTGCTGTGCACCATGGAAACAGAGCGGGTGACCGTAGCGGGTGGGGGGGATGACGATGTCGTGTGAAAGCCAAGTTTGTTATTGGAGCCCTTTTAGTGCTTGAGGCTACGTTTATACTAGTGCATTTTCATTTAAAAACGCGTAGGCCTAACTTTTGCGATTGGTTACGCCTGTCGTCTAAACTACTCCGGCATTTTCGACCCTAGAAAACTGAGACTTTCAAAA